CGGTGTGTGTGTGTGTGTGTGTGTGTGTGTGTGTGTGCGCGCGCGTGTGTGTTGGGGGTGCGCTGGGTGTCTAGACATTGGAGCACAGGTGGGTGGGGAGCAGCCTTGGACCTTGATGGGGTTTGTACCAGACTTTCCCAGAGAGAGCCCGAAGTCAGGAGCTGGAGAAGGCTCCTCCTTCAGGGCCCACAGAGCATGAGCTGATACCTCCCCTGGCCAGAAGAAAGAAACCTGAGAGCTGCTTCCCTGTGGCCCTGAGCAGAGTCTGCATCTGTAAACAAAGCCGCCCTTCCTCTCTGGAGACAAAGCAACACCTAAAAATAGCATGGGGAAGGCCAGGACTGAGCAGACAGAAAGAATGGAAGCATTGGAGCATCCTCAAATCAAGGACCCACGTGGTGTGCGCGTGCGTGTGTGCGTGTGCACACATGTGTATGCACACACACATGCATGCGCGAAGGCTTCTGTCCATCCGCAGACAAACCCCGTATGCTCCGGAGGCCCGTCAGCATCTCTGCCCACTGCTCTGAGTTTCTCTTTGCTCAGCCCCTTTTCTGCCTCTTTTCCCGTCCCAGTCTCCTAGGCCTGAGTGCCATTTCGGTAACTATGTTTGCCTCCAGCTGTTCCAAAAATGATATGCTCCAGTCTCTAAGACCCTACTCTAGAATTTTTTTAAGAGAAATTTTTGCTATAGGACACATAAGCTCATCAGAGAGACAGAAAGTGAGAAATCACCCCCGGGTGGGGGGGTGGCAGGTGGATGGCCATGCCACCATTCCTTCTCTTGGGCATGCACATACACATGCCCAGTGTGAATTTTAAGCTTCCAGGTCCAGGACTCAAACTGCTGTCAACTACATGGAAGTCCAGCAACATAACCATTATTCCATCTTCTGATCCTCCCACTCTAGAATTTTATGTGCTGTTTCTAATTTTCTGCCTCCATCAAATCTTGAGCTTATCCAGGGTAAGAATCATGTTCTAGTCATTCCACAACCCCATTATGTTTCGCACAAAGTAGATGTTAGCCAATACTTGAAGGATGGGTGAGTGGATGGCTGGATGAACAGATGATTGGATGGACAGAGGTTTGGATGGATGGACGGAAGGAAAAGTGAACAGATGGATGAGTAGAAGATTGGATGGAATCTTGGGTGGCTAGATGGGTAGACGCAAGAATGAAGACCAGTGGATGGATAGATGAGTGGACAGAGCATGGATTATTGGACGGACAGACGGACGGATGGGTGGATGGGTGGATGACTGCATCCTAACGTATGTGGCCTGTGTTCCTCCAGGCATGACCTGCCAAGCACGGAGTTCCTACATGGACACCGAGGTGCTCTGGGGCCACCGGTTCACGCCAGTGCTCACCTTGGAAAAGGGCTTCTATGAGGTGGACTACAACACGTTTCACGACACCTACGAGACCAACACACCCAGCTGCTGTGCCAAGGAGCTGGCGGAGATGAAGCGGGAAGGCCGGCTCCTGCAGTACCCCCCCAGCTCCCCCCTGCTGGGGGGCTATGCCAAGGTGGGGCAGGACACTGAGGCGGAACAGGAAGAGGAGGGCGAGGACAAGGAGCTGAGTGGGTCCCGGGAGACCAGGGGCTCCATGTGAGGCCGTGGTCTCCCGGTGACCGCCACTTACTGGGTCTATGAGCATGGATGCTACAGAGCCTGGGGGAGGGGAGGAAAGGGGAACTAGCCCAGAGGGCTGTTTGTGGGCCCTGGAGGCTCCTGAGGGTCCGCATACCCAGCCCTCATTCCTCCCAGCTCAGGGCCTCTGGAGCAGGACCCCCCAGGGCAGCGCTGCCTCTTCTCCGGAAGCCTCAGTCAGGGCTGGCTAAGGGCCGGGCCAGGATAGGTTTCCGCTTAAAAGTGACAGGGTGGCACCCACCCTCTCTGAGGACTGCCCAGGTTCACTTTCCTCCTTGGCTCTTGCAGACCCAAGAGGTTGCCACCCAGAGAGGGCTGCCACCCCCACCCCCATCCCTAACCCAAGCCTCGTCTTGGAATCCAATCCCGGAGGAGCAATTCTGCCTGGTGGAGGTGGGAGCTCCGGTGGGGCTGAGCTCCCGAGCCTCGCAGTTAAGGTCTAAAGAAGCGCCTTCGAGGTCTAGGCCAGCGACACTTACGGACGCCTTGGAGGACTTGGTCTTTCCAGAGCCGCTGGGATCTGCTTAAGGAGGGCATCGTTCCTCTGCTGGCTTGAGTGCCCAGTCTGAAAGGTCACCCCCCACTGGGGTGACTCCTACAGGGTGGCCAGAGCCACAGAGCACCTCCGAGCACCGCAGTCGGCATCAGCATGGCCCGGTTGCTCCCAGGCACTCGGCACCCTGCATCTCCCGCCAGAGGGAGGACCCAGCGGCCGGTTCTTCCTGGTGCTTTCTGGCCCAAGAACCTTGGGCCAGTTTCCTTCACGGCCTCGGACCTGCTACGGCATCTGAGGAGCAAGAGCAGTTTCGGGGCGTCTGGAGATAAGCCGGGTCTGAGAGGACAGGATGCCAGGGACAGGGGTGCGGACTGTGACACACATGCTAGCCTGGCTGCTGCGGGGACACCGGCCTCAGGGCTGGCCACACCTTGCTCGCGGGCAGTGACAGGAGACGGTGGCCAAGGCTGGACCAGACTCAGGCCTCCCCACAGGGTGACAGGCAGGGTTCCCAGAGGTGGGCTATTGCGGGGTGCCCAGAAGAGGGCCACCTCCTCCCAGCCTGGGAACAGGAGGCCGAGAGGAGTTGGTGGGAGAACTGGGAGGGGCTGTTCAGAGAGAGGGCAGAGCAATGCCCTAAAGCGAGCAGCTTTGGAGGCCCCTGGGCGAGGGGCCACGTGGCAGGTGCTGAGCTGCACTTCTGGGCCTCTGCGAGCTGGCCGGGACTTGGGGAGAGCTCTGTGCTCCCAGGTACAGGCCACGTCAGTGTCACCACTCACGCCTGCAACTCCTTTCGCCCACCCCTATCGCCTTTGCAAATAGAGGCCTTCCGCCCCGATGTGGAGCACTCCCAGAAGGAGGGGCAGAGTGCTGCGAGGAGGAGGAGCAGAGGAGGAAGGCGGCTCTGGCTGACAGGCCCAGTCCCCCAGGCTGGCTCGCTAGGACCTGGACCCAGGGAGAAGAGGAGAGGTGGCCTGGTGGGAAGCCCAAGGTGAGGCAGCTGAGCAAGGATGGGAAGCCATGGGTGTGGTCAGCCTTGTGGCCAGACAGTGACTTGGGTCTGGTCCTCCATTTGACACTCTAAGACAGCACAGGAAGACAGACAGCCTCCTCCAGGTCCCTTGCTTTGCCCATGGCCTCCATGAGCCAGGATGAAGGCTCACTCTCAGCATCTTGCAGAAACCAGGAGGATGCAGGGCAGGAAGGGAGCAATGTGGTCCCACCCTGCAGCTCGCTGAGGGGCCAGGGCCAGCACACACCCTGGTAGGGAGGCACGACTTCCATGGGGATGGTGCTGCTGTCGCGGAACCTCAGTGCAACAAGATCACCCTTCGTATCCCAAAGAAATCCCTTCTTGGTGACCCATGGACCCGAATAAAGTTGAGAAAGTTCTTCCAATCGTCCTCTAGAATAACCATGGACTTACCATGGGCCAGGTCCGACAGCGGCCGGAGGTTCGGTGGGTGCACTTCTCTGGACACGTCCCCTGGGAGGGAGACACACGGAGCGTGGAAGCTAAGTTCCCACTAGCTCTCTCCCCACCCATCTGGTGGCTGGGAGGCACTGCCACCATTGCCCAGAAGACCCGGTCCCTGGGCCGGGATGTACTGACATTGTCTGGGACCCTCCCCTTCAGACGGTGCGTTCTGGCTCCCTGTGCTGTCTCAGAGCCCACATCTCATCATTTCCTTCTGTGCTTGGAGATCCTCGGGAAGCTTAAGAAGCTGGCCTGGAAGGGGAGGGCCTGTCTGCAGGGGACCCTGCACTCCTGGTCTCAGCGCCTTCTTCTAAACCCCTTACCCTGTGGCCCGCCTTCCAGCGTGCCTCATCCATGCGGCTCATGGGAGGGGAGAGCCAGAGACTGAAATTCCTTAGACTGAAGCTGCCGAAACACAGGAGCTGACCACGGTCTCCTGAAACCACACCCTGAGGACGCCCCTGCACCTACACCAGATAGGTGTGGGCCTGGTCCCACTGCAGAGGAGTTCCCGGGAACCCTTCTCACCCACCGACAGCTGAGGCTCTGACAGGACCACCCGGCTCAAGGCCACAGACGGTGATAGCCGAGGCCACTCTGTAGACCCTCAGGCCCGTGGCAGCCGGGAGGAGAGCCTGCTCTTCCGCGATGTGAACGGGTCTGTGAACTGTGCTTAGGGCTCCGACTCTCTGCTCGCAGCGTCCTCCAGGGCAGGCCAGCTGAAGAACACCTTCCTCCTGCGTTCCAGAGAACCACTGAGCTGTGAGAACTGGGGGAAGGACTGCTTTCGAGGAGAGGCCACGCACTCTGCTCAGCTGGGAGTTTGCCAAGAACGCTTCCCAGCACACTGCCATGTCAGACCCCTTCTCTGTGCAGGCTTTGCCAAAAACCCATCCGTCACTGGAGTTTGCCACTGCACTGCCAAAACCTCCCCCAGTAAAGTGGATTAGCCCCTACGGGATGGGAGTCGCTCTCCATGCTCAGCAGAGGGCCCGGGCCTCCATTCAAATTCACATCGGATTGCACACCTGCCTCCGCTTCCGGTGGCCTCGCAATGCCAGCCTGCAGCGGAAAGGAGGGAGAGGGTGGGCGAGAGGGGGACGTGGAGAGAGCGGCTGCGTGGGGGTGGGGGTGGCCTTGGGGAGGCCTAGGGGAGACGCAGGGGGCCGTACGGACACTCATGCTTGGCCATTCACTCTGCCTCTGAGAAACTTCCAAGGGTCTGGAAGGTTAGGTATTCCAAACTCACGTTACATAAGTAATGCGTAACTGTAAAAATATTCAGTCCTTGCAAATCGCTGAAAGTATCTACTTTAGGGAGCCCAGGCCTGGCCATCCAGGCTCTCTCACAAACTCACCAAATAATAGACACTATCAACAGACGAGGTGGGGGCAGAGGAAGTCGTGATGGTTAATGTTGGCAGCGAGTCGGGACTCTTCACAGGAAGCCCGGAGATTCACCTGCCATCTGCTGCCCTCGGAGAGGAGCCCGCTGGCTCTGCCCCGTGGAGACAGCTGGGAAGAGGGACACGCGTTCACCGAATGCCGGCGGCCCTGAGGGCTGGCCAGGGCAGACTTTCCGCCATGCGCTTCTGTTCAGCTGCACACTGGGAGCGCCTTCGCCCCCTCCCTTGGCAGGCAAAGCACCAGACAGGAATTCTGCCCTTCGTGTGGCCACGCCTGGGTCTGCTCACTGCTCCCTAGGCCGTGAGGGTCAGTGCTGCTGAGCCCGCCTGTGCACACATCTGCAGGGGCCAGGAGGGCAGGAGCCTGGGCGTCAGACAGGGCGCCCTCCGCACCGACCACCTTGGGCACAGGGTGCCGAGCGGGCACAGCTGTAATGTGGTGCTCCCGCAGCTGACCACATGGGAGGGGGCTCGGCGGAGCCCACAGCCCTCCCTGCGTGTACCAGCACATGCGTGCCCGGCTCCGGACAGGCTGTGGGGCCAAGACCCTGCCTCTCCCCCTCTGCCTCTCTCACTCATGAAGGAATAAAGAAATCAACTTAAGTAACAAGTGAACGATGCCACGCAGACCCCACGTGCTGCCCAGGGGGCCTCTGGGTTGTCGTGTTTCGGTCCCTTCACCTCCTGTCGTCTGCCGCGGAGTCCTGACAGCACATGTGCTGGGCGCACCAGCTCACGGCTGTCCAGACGCCCCGAGGCCCGCAGCACCACGGTCTGCACGACTCCCAGGCAGCACTCGTCGACCTCCAGCCTGGGGCTGGGAGTCCAAGATCCACGTCAAGAGGTTCCATGGGGGCCGGCGGGTGGGTAGCTGGCTAAGGCACTGGACTCCCACGTGGCCAACCAGGGTTCAAGTCCCAGACCTGGCAGCTTGCTTTCTCACTCGCTCTCTCTCTCTCTCTCTCGCTATGGTGAGTGCACAAGCCCTATAGCAAATTAAAATCATCATCATCATAAATAAAATGGAATAAAAACGAAAAAGGAGGTTCTGTGCTGAGAGGCCTGTTTTGAGGCTTCCCCAGGCCTGATGGTGTTCACGACGCCCCTCCCTCAGGGCCGTCACCCCCAGATCCTAACACCATCGCCTTCAGGCCGGACTTCAGGTAGGGATGCTGGGAGGACAGACAGCCCACAGGGATCAGTGGATTGCTCGCCCCATGGAGTTTTGTGTTTTTTGAGAGAGAGATTTGCTATAGGACATGTACACTCGCCGTACAGACAGATAGGCACAGAGAGACGGAAAGCAGGAGCTCACTCCCTAGGGGGTTGGCTAGGCCGCAATCCCTTCTCCATTCTCCTCGTGGGATTTCGGGCACCCATGTTCACACGCTTGGCATGAGTTTCAAGCCGCCGGATCTGGGACTCAAGTCACGGTTGACTATGTGGGAGTCCAGTGACAATGGTATACAGGCTGTTACCACGTCTGCTGGTCCC